ATTTGAGAAAACAAACATTGTTGTTTTTTAATAGGAAAAAAGAGCATATGGTACCCAGGCATCCCCAATTATTTTAATATGGTGCACAGTGAGTGCTCACACCCATTCTCACATGTCTAGGCGACTCAGGCTTATCGTGGCAATGTTAAATGTAGGACACATAAAACGTATATATACGTTTGGGGCACTAGCGGTAAAAACGTATATATACGTTTGGACCGTTTACGGGTTAAATCTGGACATGTCAGTATTATCAGTAATTCATGTGTAGTGAACCTTCCCTGCTTCTGGCAGTACTGTCTCACCTCAACACCACCTGGCAGTACTGTCTCATCTCAACACCACCTGGCAGTACTGTCTCACCTCAACACCACCTGGCAGTACTGTCTCACCTCAACACCACCTGGCAGTACTGTCTCACCTCAACACCACCTGGCAGTACTGTCTCACTCACCTCAACACCACCTGGCAGTACTGTCTCACTCACCTCAACACCACCTGGCAGTGATGTCTCACTCACCTCAACACCACCTGGCAGTACTGTCTCCCCTCAACACCACCTGGCAGTACTGTCTCACCTCAACACCACCTGGCAGTACTGTCTCACCTCAACACCACCTGGCACTACTGTCTCCCCTCAACACCACCTGGCACTACTGTCTCACCTCAACACCACCTGGCAGTACTGTCTCCCCTCAACATCACCTGGCACTACTGCCTCACCTCAATACCATCCGGCAGTACTGTCTCACTCACAACACCACCTGGCAGTACTGTCTCACTCACAACACCACCTGGCAGTACTGTCTCACTCACCTCAACACCACCTGGCAGTACTGTCTCACTCACCTCAACACCACCTGGCAGAACTGTCTCACTCACCTCAACACCACCTGGCAGTACTGTCTCGCTCACCTCAACACCACCTACCTGGAGAGGGTTTCGGGGGTCAACGCCCCCACGGTCCGGTCTGAGACCAGGCCTCATGGTGGATCAGGGTCTGATCAACCAGGCTGTTACTGCTGGCTGCACGCAAGCTGACGTATGAACCACAGCCCAGTTGGTCAGGTACTGACTTTAGGTGCCTGTCCAATGCCTTCTTGGTCTATTGGTAATCCCCCTTATGTATGCTGGGAGGCAGTTGAACAGTCTTGGGCCCCGGACACTTACTGTGTTGTCTCTCAGTGTACTCGTGGTGCCCCTGCTTTTCATCAGGGAAATGCTGCATCTCCTGCTGAGTCTTTTGCATTCATATGGAGTGATTTTCGTGCGCAGGTTTGGTACCAATCCCTCGAGGACCTTCCAAGTGTATATTACCATGTATCTCTCTCACCTGCATTCCAGGGAATACAGAGCAAGGAAAAATACAGCCTCTCTTCACTTAATGATTGAGTTCCATTCCTAGGAGTACTGTCTTGCTCACCTCAACACTACCTGACAGTACTGTCTTGCTCACCTCAACACTACCTGACAGTACTGTCTTGCTCACCTCAACACTACCTGACAGTACTGTCTTGCTCACCTCAACACTACCTGACAGTACTGTCTTGCTCTCCTCAACACTACCTGACAATACTGTCTTGCTCATCTCAACACTACCTGACAGTACTGTCTTGCTCTCCTCAACACTACCTGACAGTACTGTCTTGCTCTCAACACTACCTGACAATACTGTCTTGCTCATCTCAACACTACCTGACAGTACTGTCTTGCTCTCCTCAAACACTGACAGTACTGTCTTGCTCTCAACACTACCTGACAATACTGTCTTGCTCATCTCAACACTACCTGACAGTACTGTCTTGCTCTCCTCAACACTGACAGTACTGTCTTGCTCTCAACACTACCTGACAATACTGTCTTGCTCATCTCAACACTACCTGACAGTACTGTCTTGCTCTCCTCAACACTGACAGTACTGTCTTGCTCACCTCAACACTACCTGACAGTACAGTGGACCTCAACCAGCAATATTAATCCGTTCCTGAGAGCTCATCATTAATCGAAATAATCGTTAGTCAAGTTAATTTTCCCCATAAGAAATAATGGAAATCAAATTAATCCATGCAAGACACCCCAAAGTATTGAAAAAAAAAAATTTACCACGTGAAATATTAATTTTAATACACACAAACTGAAGAAGACATGCACAGTTACATGACACTTACCTTTATTGAAGATCTGGTGATGATTGATGGGATGGGAGGAGGGGAGAGTGTTGATCTTCTTAGTGTTTAGAAGGGGAATCCCCTTCCATTAGGACTTGAGGTAGCAAGTCTTTTTCTGGGGTTACTTCCCTTGTTCTTTTAATGCCACTAGGACTAGCTTCAGAGTCACTGGACTTCTGTCGCACAACATATCTGTCCATAGATACCTGTACCTCTCGTTCCTTTATGACTTTCCTAAAGTGGTTCACAACATTGTCAGTGTACAGGTTGCAGTAGCTGTGTCAGGGTGATTTTCATCCATAAAGGTTTGCACTTTAAGCCACTTTAAGCCACTTTAAGTCACAGACCGGGCCGCGGGGGCGTTGACCCCCGGAACTCTCTCCAGGTAAACTCCAGGTAAACATTGCACACATTTCCTTAATCTTTGAAGTAGGCAACTTCTTCAATTTCTCTATCCCCTCCTCCGAAGCAGTTTCCTCAGGTCTGCCCTCTTGCTGTTCAAGATGATCTAGCAGCTCATCAGTGGTTAGTTCATCATTGTCGTCTTCCACCAGCTCTTCCACATCCTCCCCACTAGCCTCCAACCCCAAGGACTTCCCCAATGCCACAATGGATTCCTCAACTGGCATAGGATTCTCAGGGTTAGCCTCAAACCCTTCAAAATCCCTTTTGTCTACACATTCTGGCCATAGTTTTTTCCAAGCAGAGTTCAAGGTCCTCTTAGTCACTTCCTCCCAAGCCTTACCTATAATGTTTACACAACTGAGGATGGTAAAATGATCTTTCCAAAACTCTCTTAGTCAGTTGAGTTTCTGAGGTCACTACAAAGCACCTTTCAAACATAGCTTTTGTGTACAGTTTCTTGAAGTTGGAAATGACCTGCTGGTCCATGGGCTGCAGGAGAGGAGTGGTATTAAGAGGCAAAAACTTCACCTTAATGAAGCTCATGTCCCTAGAAAGTCGCTCTGCCAAGTCTGAAGGATGACCAGGAGCACTGTCTAATACCAGGAGGCACTTAAGGTCTAATTTCTTTTCAATTAGGTAATTTTTCACAGTGGGGGCAAATGCATGGTGTAACCAGTCATAGAAAAAGTCCCTAGTGACCCATGCCTTACTGTTTGCCCTCCACAGCACACACAAATTAGCCTTGATGACACTGTTTTTTCTGAACACTCTGGGAGTTTCAGAGTGATACACCAATAAAGGCTTCACTTTGCAATCACCACTAGCATTGGCACACATCAACAGAGTAAGCCTGTCTTTCATAGGCTTATGTCCTGGGAGTGTCTTTTCCTCCTGAGTAATGTACGTCCTGCTTGGCATTTTCTTCCAAAACAGGCCTGTTTCGTCACAATTAAAGACTAGTTCAGGTTTCAGTCCTTCACTGTCTATGTACTCCTTGAATTCCTGCACATATTTTTCAGCCGCTTTGTGGTCCGAACTGGCAGCCTCACCATGCCTTATCACACTATGTATGCCACTACGCTTCTTAAATCTCTCAAACCAACCTTTGCTGGCCTTAAATTCACTCACATCACTAGTTGCTGGCATTTTTTTAATTAAATCGCCATGCAACTTCCTAGTCTTTTCACATATGATCGCTTGAGAGATGCTATCTCCTGCTATCTGTTTCTCGTTTATCCACACCAATAAGAGTCTCTCAACATCTTCTACCGCTTGCGATCTCAGTTTCGAAAACATAGTTGCACCTTTGGCAAGAACAGCTTCCTTGATTGCCGTTTTCTTGCCCACAATAGTAGCGAGGTTGATTGGGGTTTATTATACAACCTGACCAGCTCAGAGACACGCACTCCACTTTCATACTTAGCAATGATCTCTTTCTTCATCTCCATAGTAATTCTCACCCTTTTTGCTGTAGGGTTGGCACTAGAAGCTTTCTTGGGGCCCATGGTGACTTATTTTGCAGGTGCAATCACTACAAAGGCTGTGATAATATGAAATGTTCCAGTTGTACGTTTGGAAGCGACCGTGGTGGCTGGCTTGTAAACACTGGCACCCACGGGACAAGTGAGGCGCACTCAGGCCAAAGTGGACGCGTCTCGTACGGAACGAATAGCGCTGGTCGGGTTTTTAAGCGCTAGTCGAGGCAAAATTTTTGTGTTAAAATGTATCGCTAGTCAGATTTATCGTTAATCGATGCCATCGCTGGTTGAGGGTCCACTGTACTGTCTTGCTCTCCTCAACAATACCTGACAGTACTGTCTTGCTCACCTCAACACTACCTGACAGTACTGTCTCTCACCTCAACACTGTCACTTTAACATAATTCCAACCCACCAGAGAGCTAAACCATACCATGGGAGGGGACTGAACTCGCAGTGAGTTGTAAAACTCCAGACCGACACGTTAGCCACTGAGTGAGCTGGCTACGGAGATTCTTTTCATTAATAATTAAAATATTTGCTATATCCATGTGTAACACTGTACAGCCTCTCCACACTTAGCGATGTACATGTACAGTATTTTTGTTTACCAATGACTCGGACTTACGACGGGCTCTCTGACTAATATGCATACCTCAATAATGTATATTAAGAGCTGATTTCCTCTATTCTGTTTATTACAATATACAGTACACTACTGTATAAACATTTAGAAATATACTACAAGTGTTATAAATGATGCAAAGGTAACATTAAAACAACATCAAAAATGGTTGACAAAAACCCACTATCATTACAGTGTATGTTCCTTGTTGAGCAACGAATTCATTTACCAATGTGCTCTTAGGAATGGAACTCCATCATTAAGTGAGGAGAGGCTGTATTTTTTCTTTTCTAAATTGACTCAATTGTAACTTAATTTCATTAGGATCCTCATGTGATAGATCAAAGTGTCCTTGGTTAAGATGGGCCCATTATTTTGCCAAGAACTGTCTACCTCAGTACGAGAGGGGATCTTGCTGCCCTACCAGGTTCTTATGTCGTAAGTATTATTAGTAGTACATTATTATTATTATTATTATTATTATTATTATTATTATTATTATTAATAGTAGTAGTAGTTGTTGTTGTTGTTTTAGTAGTAGTAGTAGTAGCACCAGCAGCTGCTAGCAGCACCAGCAGCAGCTAGCAGCAGCAGCAATCACCAGTAGCAGCAGCTAGCAGCAGCAGATAGCAGCAGCAGCTAGCAGCAGCAAGCAGCAGCAACTGGCAGCAGCAATCAGCAGCAGCTACAAGCAGCAACTAGCAGCAGCAATCAGCAGCAGCTACCAGCAGCAGCTACCAGCAGCAGCAACAGCAGCTAGCAGCAGTAGCAGCTAGCAGCAGCAGCAGCTAGCAGAAGCTAGCAGCAGAAGCTAGCAACAGCAGCAGCTGCAGCTAGCAGCAGCAGTTAGCAGCAGCAGCTAGCAGTAGCAGCTAGCAACAGCAGCTAGCAGCAACAGCAGCTAGCAGCAGCTAGCAGCAGCAGCTAGCAGCAGCAGCAGCTAGCAGAAGCTAGCAGCAGTAGCTAGCAGCAGCTAGCAGCAGCAGCAGCAGCTACCAGCAGCAACAGCAGCTAGCAGCAGCTAGCAGCAGCAGAAGCTAGCAGCAGCAGCTGCAGCTAGCAGCAGCAGTTAGCAGCACTAACTAGCAACAGCAACAGCAGCTAGCAGTGGCTAGCAGCAGCTAGCAGCAGCAGCAAGCAGCAACAGCTAGCAACACCAGCTAGCAGCAACAGCTAGCAACACCAGCTAGCAGCAGCAGCTAGCAGCAGCAGAAGCTAGCAGCAGCAGCTAGCAGCAGCAGAAGCTAGCAGCAGCAGCAGCAGCAGCTAGCAGCAGCAGCTAGAAGCAGCAGCAGCTAACAGCAGCAGCTAGAAGCAGCAGCAGCTAGTAGCAGCAGCTAGAAGCAGCAAACAGCAGCAGCTACCAGCAGCAGCAACTAGCAGCAGCAGCTAGCAGCAGTAGCTAGCAGCAGCAGCAGATAGCTAACAGCAGCAGCTAGCAGCAGCATCTAGCAATAGCAGCTAGAAGCAACAGCTAGCAGCAGCAGCAGCAGCAACCAGCAGCTAGCAGCAGCAGATAGCAGCAGCAGCAAACAGCAGCAGCAGCAGCAGCTAGCAGCAGCAGCAACAGCTAGCAGCAGCAACAGCTAGCAGCAGCAGCTAGCAGCAGCAGCAGCTAGCAGCAGCAGCAGCAACAGCTAGCAACAACAGCTAGAAGCAGCAGCACCAGCTAGCAGCAGCACCAGCTAGCAGCAGCAGAAGCTAACAGCAGCAGCTAGCAGCAGCTGCAGCTAGCAAAAGCAGCTAGCAGCAGCAGTTAGCAGCTAGCAGCAGCAGCTAGCAGCAGCTAGCAGCAGCAGCAGCTAGCAGCAGCAGCTAGCAGCAGCTAGCAGCAGCTAGCAGCAGCAGCTAACAGCAGCAGCTAGCAGCAGCAGCAGCTAGAAGCAACAGCTAGCAGCAGCTAGTAGCAGCAGCTAGCAGCAGCAGCTAACAGCAGCAGCTAGCAGGAGCAGCTACCAGCAGCAGCAGCTAGCAGCAGCAGCAGTTAACAGCAGCAGCTAGCAGCAGCAGCAGCTAGAAGCAGCAGCAGCTAGCAGCAGCAGCAGCTAGCAGCAGCTAGTAGCAGCTAGCAGCAGCAGCTAGCAGCAGCAGCAGCAGCAGCAGCAGCAGCAGCAGCAGCTAGGAGCAGATATTAGCAGCTAGCAGCAGCAGCAGCAACTAGCAGCAGATAGCAGTAACAGCTAGGAGCAGAAACTAGCAGCAGCTAGCAGCAGCAGCAGCAGATAGCAGCTAGCAGCAACAGCTAGCAGCAGCAGCTAGCAGCAGCAGCAGCAGCAGCTAGCAGCAGCAGCAGCAACAGCTAGCAACACCAGCTAGCAACACCAGCTAGCAGCAGCAGCAGCTAGCAGCAGCAGCTGCAGCTAGCAAAAGCAGCTAGCAGCAGCAGTTAGCAGCAGCTAGCAGCAGCAGCAGCTAGAAGGAGCAGCAGCTAGCAGCAGCTAGCAGCAGCAGCTAACAGCAGCAGCTAGCAGCAGCAGCTAGCAGCAGCAGCTAGCAGCAGCAGCAGCTAGCAGCAGCAGCTAGCAGCAGCTAGCAGCAGCAGCTAACAGCAGCAGCTAGCAGCAGCTACCAGCAGCAGCAGCAGCAGCAGCTAGCAGCAGATAGCAGTAGCAGCAGCAGCTAACAGCAGCAGCTAGCAGCAGCTAATAACAGCAGCAGCTAGCAGCAGCAGCTAGCAGCAGCTAGCAGCAGCAGCTAGCAGCAGCTAATAACAGCAGCAGCTAGCAGCAGATAGCAGTAGCAGCTAGAAGCAGCAGCTAGCAGCAGCAGCTAGCAGCAGCAGCAGCAGATAGCAGCTAGCAGCAGCAACTAGCAGCAGCAGCTAGCAGCAGCAACAACAACAGCTAGAAGCAGCAGCTAGCAACAGCAGCAACATCTAGCAGCAACAACAGCAGCAGCAGCAGCAGCAGCAGCAGCAGCAGCAGCTAACAGCGGCAGCAGCATCAGCAGCAGCTAAAAGCAGCAGCTAGCAGCAGCAGCTAGCAGCAGCAGCTAGCAGCAGCAGCTAGCAGCAGCAGCTAGCGGCAGCTAGTAGCTAGCAGCAACAGCAGCTAGCAGCAGCAGTTAGCAGCAGCAGCTAGCAACAGCAGCAGCTAGCAGAAGCAGCCAGCAGCAGCTAGTAGCAGGAGCAGCTAGCAGCAGCAGCTAGCAGGAGCAGCTAGCAGGAGCAGCTAGCAGCAGCAGTAGCAGCTAGCAGCAGCAGCAGCAGCTAGCAGCAGCAGCAGTTAGCAGCAGCAGCAGTTAGCAGCAGCAGCTAGCAGCAGCAGCTAGCAGCAGCAGCTAGCAGCAGCAGCTAGCAGCAGCAGCAGCAGCAGCTAGCAGCAGCAGCTAGCAGCAGCAGCAGCAGCAGCAGCAGCCAGCAGCAGCAGCAGCAGCAGCAGCAGCAGCAGCTAGCAGCAGCAGCAGCTAGCAGCAGCAGCTAGCAGCAGCAGCTAGCAGCAGCTAGCAGCAGCAGCTAGCAGCAGCACAGCAGCAGCAAGCAGCAGCAGCAGCAGCAGCAGCAGCAGCAGCAGCAAGCAAGCAGCAGCAGCAGCAGCAGCAGCAGCAGCAGCAGCAGCAGCAGAGCAGCCAGCAGCAGCAGCAGCAGCAGCAGCAGCAGCAGCAGCAGCAGCAGCAGCAGCAGCAGCTAGCAGCAGCAGCAAGCAGCAGCAGCAGCAGCAGCAGCAGCAAGCAGCAGCAGCAGCAGCAGCAGCAGCAGCAGCAAGCAGCAGCAGCAGCAGCTAGCAGCAGCAGCAGCAGCAAGCAGCAGCAGCAGCAGCAGCAGCTAGCAGCAGCAGAGCAGCAGCAGCGAGCAGAGCAGCAGCAGAGCCAAGCAGCAGCAGCAGCAGCAGCAGCAGCAAGCAGCAGCAGCAGCAGCTAGCAGAAGCAGCTAGCAGCAGCAGCTAGCAGCAGCAGCTAGTAGTAGTAGAAGGGAAGAGTAGCCACAATTTCTTGGATCAAGAGCCCTTCACCAGCATGAGGACACCACCAATAAAAAGATCATACTACAAGCAGATGACCGATTAATCACACTTTTGAGAGTCAGTTTAAGACAATGATGAATATGAAAACTCATCAGAAATACAGTGGACAGAGTTTAAGCCGTAAATAAATAAATATTTAACCATTTAGACAGTTTTATAAAAAAAAACTCAAGTGTGTAATTTTCAACAGCCAGTACAAATGCTACCGACCCAGAGAAGTGTTATTACAAAGGTGAGGCCTATACAAAGGGCAGTACTGTACCTGTGGAAGATGCGTGTTCTGCTAATTGTTACTGCACAGAGTCGTATGCCCCCGGATATCCGTAAGTACAACAGATAAGCATACCGGAGGGCCCCACTTATACAGCAGGTTAGGTTCTGGGCTGCTGCTGTAAAGCAGAAATTGTAGGTGTAGTGTCTGATATGTGGAAGATGGCTAATGTAATTTCTATTTTTAAAACGGGACAAGTCATTACCGTCAAATTACTGCCCAATAAGCCTGACCTCAACTGTAGGCAAATTACTAGAGTCAATTATAGCTCAGATTATAAGAAGCCATCTCGATAAGCATAGCTTGATTAATGATACTCAGCATGGATTCACCAGAGGCCGGTCTTGTCAAACTAATTTATTAACTTTCTTCAGTAAAGCTTTTGAGGCTGTTGACCACAATAAAGAATTTGATATTATTTACTTAGATTTTAGTAAGGCTTTTGATAGAGTTCCACACCAAAGACTGTTAAAGAAAGTGGCAGCTCATGGCACTGGGGGAAGGGTGCTCTCGTGGATCAAATCATGGCTCACAGACAGGAAGCAGAGAGTGTCCATAAATGGGGTTAAATCCGTTGTTGTTTATAATATATATCAATGATCTTGATGAAGGAATTACTAGTGATATGAGCAAATTCGCCGATGACACAAAGATAGGTAGGATAATTGATTCAAACGTAGATATTAGGGAACTTCAGAAGGATTTAGACAAACTCTATTCTTGGTCAGAAAAGTGGCAGATGCAGTTCAATGTAGATAAATGCAAGGTTCTGAAGCTCGGGAGTGTCCATAACCCTAGCACTTACAAGTTAAATAATGTAGAACTTAGCCATACAGATTGCGAAAAGGACTTGGGGGTTATGGTAAGCAGCAACCTTAAACCAAGACAGCAATGCCTAAGCGTACATAATAAGGCAAATAGATTACTGGGATTTATATCAAGAAGTGTAAGCAACAGAAGTCCAGAGGTCATACTGCAGCTTTATACATCATTAGTAAGGCCTCACCTAGATTATGCAGCTCAGTTCTGGTCTCCATATTACAGAATGGACATAATTCATTAGAAAACATTCAGCGTAGGATGACTAAATTAATACATAGCATTAGAAATCTTCCTTATGAAGAAAGATTGAAGACTCTTAAATTACATTCACTTGTTAGACAAAGAATGAGGGGAGACATGATCGAAGTGTATAAGTGGAAGATAGGTATTAATAAAGGGGATATTAATAAGGTCTTGAGGATATCTCTCCAAGAGAGAACCCGCAGTAATGGATTTAAATTAGACAAGTTTAGATTTAGAAAGGACATAGGAAAGTATTGGTTTGGAAATAGGGTAGTTGATGAGTGGAACAGTCTACCTAGTTGGGTTACTGAGGCTAGGACTTTGGGTAGTTTCAAATTTAGAAGTTGGATAAATATATGAGTGAGAGGGGTTGGATTTGAATGGGACTTGCAAATGAGTGGATAGAGTTATCAGAGCTTATTTCTTGGGTAGCATTGAAAATTAGGTTGGGCAAATGTTTTGTTAGTGGGATGGATTGTAAAGGACCTGCCTAGCATGGGCCAACAGGCCACCTGCAGTGATCCTCCTTTCTTATGTTCTTATGTAAAGTGAAGCATAGCCTTTTTTCACTTTCAAATGCATATAAAAGCCTGATAACATGTTTACATTATCATATATTAAGTAAGCAATAAAGCTAGGCCTAAAAAATACATATACAGTACATACATTACTTTCCTTAAAATATTTTCATCCTTAGCATATAGTGAGTGGTGAATATATATATTGTAGGAAGTCTGAATAAATGAAGAAAACTGCTGTATTAGTGAAACGTTGTAAAGTGGTGCCCTCCTGTATTTAAGTAAAAGTCATAATTACCGTATTCCGCAGCTTATTAGACACATGTTTTTTCCTCATAAAATGTCTCCAAAAGCCACCCTGCATTCTATAAACTGAAGGTCAGTAATGGGAGCTATAAGTTTGGGGTGTGGGGTGGGTTGTAGCTCTCCCAGTTACATCCAATGCGAAGCCATTGAAACTAAAACAAGGCTTATAAGCTGCGTTTCATAAGCTGCGAAATACGGAAAGGAAATAAATGAATACAAGTCAGGGACTTGCTGTCTTCATGATGGATAATTATCTTGAGTTTCATTTCCAAAATAATTAACTTTGCACCATCACAAAGTTGAAATACAGTGGACCCTCGACCAGCGATATTAATCTGTTCCTGAGAGCTCATCGTTAATAGAAATTATCGTTAGTCGAGTTAATTTTCCCTATAAGAAATAATGGAAACCAAATTAATCCGTTCCTGAAACCCCAAAGTATTGAAAAAAAAGAAATTTTACCACATGAAACATTAATTTTAATACACACAAACTGTAGAAGACATGCACAGTTACATGACACTTACCTTTATTGAAGATCTGGTGATGACTGATGGGATGGGAGGAGGGGAGAGTGTTGATCTTCTTAGTGTTTAGAAGGGGAATCCCCTTCCATTAGGACTTGAGGTAGCAAGTCTTTTTCTGAGGTTACCTCCCTTGTTCTTTTAATGCCACTAGGACCAGCTTCAGAGTCACTGGACTTCTGTCGCACAACATATCTGTCCATAGAGGCCTGTACCTCCCGTTCCTTTATGACATTTCTAAAGTGTTTCACAACATTGTCAGTGTACAGGTTGCCAACACGGCTTGCAGTAGCTGTGTCAGGGTGATTTTCATCCATAAAGGTTTGCACTTTAAGCCACACTGCACAGATTTCCTTAATCTTAGAAGTAGGCAACTTCTTCAATTTCTCTATCCCCTCCTCCAAAGCAGTTTCCTCAGGTGTGGCCTCATGCTGATGAAGATGATCTAGCAGCTCATCAGTGGTTAGTTCTTCATTGTCCTCCTCCACCAACTCTTCCACATCCTCCCCACTAACCTCCAACCCCAAGGACTTCCCCAATGCCACAATGGATTCCTCAACTGGCATAGGATTCTCAGGGTTAGCCTCAAACTCTTCAAAATCCCTTTTGTCTACACATTCTGGCCACAGTTTTTTCCAAGCAGAGTTCAAGGTCCTCTTAGTCACTTCCTCCCAAGCCTTACCTATAATGTTTACACAATTGAGGATGGTAAAGTGATCTTTCCAAAACTCTCTTAGAGTCAGTTGAGTTTCTGAGGTCACTACAAAGCACCTTTCAAACATAGCTTTTGTGTACAGTTTCTTGAAGTTGGAAATGACCTGCTGGTCCATGGGCTGCAGGAGAGGAGTGGCATTAGGAGGCAAAAACTTCACCTTAATGAAGCTCGTGTCTCTAGAAAGTCGCTCTGCCAAGTCTGAAGGATGACCAGGAGCATTGTCTAATACCAGGAGGCACTTAAGGTCTAATTTTTTTTCAATTAGGTAATTTTTCACAGTGGGGTCAAATGCATGGTGTAACCAGTCATAGAAAAAGTCCCTAGTGACCCATGCCTTACTGTTTGCCCTCCACAGCACACACAAATTAGCCTTGAGAACATTGTTTTCCCTGAACACTCTGGGAGTTTCAGAGTGATACACCAATAAAGGCTTCACTTTGCAATCACCACTAGCATTGGCACACATCAACAGAGTAAGCCTGTCTTTCATAGGCTTATGTCCTGGGAGTGCCTTTTCCTCCTGAGTAATGTAGGTCCTGCTTGGCATTTTCTTCCAAAACAGGCCTGTTTCGTCACAATTAAACACTTGTTCAGGTTTCAGTCCTTCACTGTCTATGTACTCCTTGAATTCCTGCACATATTTTTCAGCCGCTTTGTGGTCCGAACTGGCAGCCTCACCATGCCTTATCACACTATGAATGCCACTACGCTTCTTAAATCTCTTAAACCAACTTTTGCTGGCCTTAAATTCACTCACATCACCACTAGTTGCTGGCAATTTTTTAATTAAATCATCATACAACTTCCTAGCCTTTTCACATATGATCGCTTGAGAAATGCTATCTCCTGCTATTCGTTTATCCACACCAATAAGAGTCTCTCAACATCATCTATCACTTGCGATCTCAGTTTCGAAAACATAGTTGCACCTTTGGCAAGAACAGCTTCCTTGATTGCCGTTTTCTTGCCCACAATAGTAGCGATGGTTGTTGGGGTTTACTATACAACCTGACCAGCTCGGAGACACGCACTCCACTTTCATACTTAGCAATGATCTCTCTTCATCTCCATAGTAATTCTCACCCTTTTTGCTGTAGGGTTGGCACTAGAAGCTTTCTTGGGGCCCATGGTGACTTATTTTGCAGGTGCAATCACTACAAAGGCTGTGATAATATGAAATGTTCCAGTTGTATGTTTGGAAGCGACCGCGGTGGCTGGCTGGCTTGTAAACACTGGCACCCATGGGACAAGTGAGGTGCGCTCAGGCCAAAGTGGACGCGTCTCGAATGGAATGAATAGCGTTGGTCGGGTTTTTTAGCGCTAGCCGAGGCAAAATTTTTGCGTTAAAATGTATTGCTAGTCGAATTTATCGTTAATCAATGCCATCGTTGGTCGAGGGTCCACTGTATTGCAATTTGAACCATCATATGTCAAAGAGCACCCATATATCATCAGAAGAACTAACATTAATGTTAATGTAAGTGGTAATTTTATATTTTGGCCCCAACAGAGCGGAAATACACTGTGCGGACATAGAATGTCCAGAGTTCTTCAGGCCTCCAGTACCAGGCTGCCGCCCAGTCTACAAACCGGGCGAGTGTTGCTCCTCCGAGAGTGATTGTGGTTAGTGTCGTACAGTAGCTGTACTTCACATTTTATTAGTTGTCTGTAGCAATAATTAAAACTGAAATTTATTACACGCTCAATAATAATTTACATGAGACAGAGACACAGATAATTAATTGACCTGTGTATTCCTAACACTGACTAGCTACATTCAAATTTAAGTTTTTATTTATTTTAAGCAGTACACAGATAATGTAGTTTACATGTAATAAAAGATTCCTAGGCACAAAAGAAAGTCACAAGTATGCAGTGTATTTCCGGTAAACTAATCAACTGTGTCATTACACTGTTTCTTCCATTATCTACCCTTTGTAAAATTGATTTTATTATATGCAACTTGAAGATTATTATTCTTATAAACCCCCACCTTGAAACCTCGCATTAGTATTAAGATGAAATGAAGATTTTAATAGAAGTTAATCACTCTTATCTTGTCTAGATTTAAGCAGTTATTATGTGCTTGGATTAGTCTGCCTGAAATGCCCCGCATGACAGTGACTTTCTTTGTACTCAGAAAACCAAAACTGTAATTACACATTTTAACCATTACAAAGAAATAAAATCTTTATTTTTATCTTTAGCACCTGTATCTCTCTTCCTCTACCATCTTGCTCATCGCTTCCATGTAGTGCAGAATGAAGAGGAGCTGCTCCAGAATTTCTATAGGGGTAGAAAACGAGGGTCGAACCTGTGTTATTATTACTACTAGGTACTTAGGGACTTTGGGGAGAGTGATGAAGATTATGGAGAGACTTCAGTCCCCCTTACCCTCCTTGGTACTACCACTGGGGAGACTTCAGTCCCCCTTACCCTCCTTGGTACTACCACTGGGGAGACTTCAGTCCCCCTTGCCCTCCTTGGTACTACCACTGGGGAGACTTCAGTCCCCCTTGCCCTCCTTGGTACTACCACTGGGGAGACTTCAGTCCCCCTTACTCTCCTTGGTACTACCACTGGGGAGACTTCAGTCCCCCTTGCCCTTCTTGGTACTACCACTGGGAGACTTCAGTCCCCCTTGCCCTCCTTGGTACTACCACTGGGGAGACTTCAGTCCCCCTTACCCTCCTTGGTACTACCACTGGGGAGACTTCAGTCCCCCTTGCCCTTCTTGGTACTACCACTGGGAGACTTCAGTCCCCCTTGCCCTTCTTGGTACTACCACTGGGGAGACTTCAGTCCCCCTTGCCCTCCTTGGCACTACCACTGGGGATGATCCATATAGGTTTAACTCTGCATTAGTAGTTTATTTAGGGTTACAAAAACATGCATACATATTAATGTGAGCATGTTAGACAGGAGAGAATGCAGGAAAATGGCTTTTACAACTTGACGTGCTGTTGGAGTGTGAGCAAAGTAACAGTTATGAAGGACGTCAGGGAAACTGGTTAGTTGAATTGAGTCCTGGAGGTGGGAAGTACAGTACCTGCACTCTGAAGGAGGGGTGTTAATGTTGCAGTTTTTGAACTACAGTGTTGGTACACCTCTGGCAAGACAGTGACGGAGTGAATGATGATAAAAGTGTTTCTTCTTTTTCGGATCACTCCGACTTGGTGGGAAATGGCCAATATGTTAATAATAAAAAAACTAACCAGTGCAATGTTTGCCAGAAATTCATTGCATGTTAGCGGCTTTCTTTTCTGCCTAAATATAATTTATTACATGTAAACTACATTACTTTTGTACAGCATATAGAGAAATAATAATTTTTATTTGAATGTGTCATATTTTCCTTTATTATTATATTTCTGGGATGCCCTAAGCGCATGGGGGTTATATACTTCCTGGAGAATACTAGGCAATCAGGTTTGATCCAAGGTAGTGAAGGGTAGCTTTAATTCATTGAATCAAAGCTCTCCACAGGCATCAACACCCCCCTGCCTCCTGGAAAAGTATTTTTTAATGTTGCTTTATAAAAAAATCTTTGAATAACTTCAAGTCGTTTGCAGTTGACCCTGACACTCCGCCTCTCCTGGAGTCTCGCTCAGTGACGTGTGTTTGGAACAACAAGACATACCTAGCTGGTGATAAGATGTACTTTGATGACTTCCCCTGCCAGAAGTGTATCTGCAGCCCAGCCTTCACACGACCAGATGGACCTCTCTGTACCAAAGAAAACTGTGGATTTGACTTCAGGTTCATGTGCTGCCAGTTTGGTTATTAGTGTATATACTTGAGTAGTATGTGTATTAAATGTATACTATAAGCAAAGCAACTTGTAACATCTAATCATCTAAAATTAACTTACATGAATATACACAGGAAAAAAAAATTAAACAAATTATAAATTTTAAGTATATACACTACTGACAGTTTGGCTCTGCCATAATGAAGCTCGCAGTTTGTAAATTATTATTAGGTATGCTTGACAATGAGGATATAACTATATGCTTTTTTCCATTAATTTGAATATCATATCTGGAAATTACAGTATAATGTGTGGATGACTTCTCTGGTACTGATTGCTAAAAAACAAAAATATACATTTGGTTAGGTTAGGTAAGGTTCGTCAGGGAACAGGACATGTGCTTCTTTGAGCTCAATAGTACTTCCAATCAGCATTACAGTATTTCCTTTAGTTAATATTTTGTACGTACGTATTTGATAACTGATACATCCAGCAAGCATGTGTGAGTATGTTAGATAGAAGTGAGTGGAGGCAAGTGTTTTTTTTTTTTTAATGACTTGATGTGCTGTTGGAGTGTGAGTAAAGTAACATTTATGAAGGCATTCAAGGAAACCGGTTAGTCGAGCTTGAGTCCTGGAGATGGGAAATACAGTGCCTGCACTCTGATGGATGGGTTGAGATATTTGCAGTTTTGAACTGTAGTATCAGTGTCCCTCTGGCAAGGCAGTGATGGAGTGAGTGAAGATGAAAGTGTTTCTTCTTTTTTGGGGTTGCCCTGCCTCAGTGGGAGATGGCCAGTGTATTAAAAAAGTGTGATACATAATATTTACTGTACCTAAACCTAAACCATAATTTTAATATACTGTCCTCAGGTACACCTCCAAATTTGCTGAAGGCTGTGTTCCCATCTACTTTGAAGAGAAATGCTGTCCCGTTGACTGGCTCTGCCGTAAGCAGTTTAGATTGTGTCCCGTCTTGCAATATTTTAAACCAGGTGTCCCCAACATGTGACCCTCGGGCCGCATGTGGCTCTTCTAGGAAATGGATGCAGCCTTCACATGAAATTATGAATTCACTTTTATGTGGTTACCACACTGCACAGTGTCATCAATTACAAAATATTATTGTTATTATTTATAAAAATCACAAAATATGGCACTCCTTTAAATTTAGCTTTTCAAATTGGCCTTTTCATACTAAAAGGTTGGGGACTACTGATTTAAACTATATTAAAATAAGGATGTATTTGCCTCTTAAAATTACTGTTCTTTTTAAAAGTCATCACTATATCTCCATACTTGCAACAGTATTAAGTAGTGTACCATTGTATTCTAATATATACAATCAATATGCAAAGGCTAGAACTGTAACAACACTTTATATTTTGGATACAGAATCTATATTTCTCTTTGCAACCACTAGTGATGGATTCATATGAATAAATAGTCACAATATCATGGCTGGAACAATTCACCAGAAACATGCACACAGAAGATCATTGAATGAGTTTAAAATAATTAGTCAAACTTTTAAAAACTGTACCATTGTTTATTAGCTACCTTTCTTATTGTACATATAATAGTAGCTAACTGCATAAGAAATCTACTCAGTGGTCTTTGTCTAAATTTTAAGCAGTCTCTACTAATCAGGATTAATTTGCCCGAAATGCACAGTATGAGGCCTGGTCACAGACCGGGCCGCAGGGGCGTTGACCCCCGAAACCCTCTCCAGGTATACTCAAGGTATACTAGTGGCTTTCAATGTTTCATAATGTGTACATGTAAACTACATTATCTTTTGTACAGAATAAAAAGAAATAAAAATAAAAATTAAAATTCTGAATCAATGTCAAGTCAAACTGACAGATAATGTAGTTTACATATAATAAACTATTATATTTATTTTTTTTTTTATTATCACACCGGCCGATTCCCACCAAGGCAGGGTGGCCCGAAAAAGAAAAACTTTCATCATCATTCACTCCATCACTGTCTTGCCAGAAGGGTGCTTTACACTACAGTTTTTAAACTGCAACATTAACACCCCTCCTTCAGAGTGCAGGCACTGTACTTCCCATCTCCAGGACTCAAGTCCGGCCTGCCGGTTTCCCTGAATCCCTTCATAAATGTTACTTTGCTCACACTCCAACAGCACGTCAAGTATTAAAAACCATTTGTCTCCATTCACTCCTATCAAACACGCTCACGCATGCCTGCTGGAAGTCCAAGCCCCTCGCACACAAAACCTCCTTTACCCCCTCCCTCCAACCCTTCCTAGGCCGACCCCTACCCCGCCTTCCTTCCACTACAGACTGATACACTCTTGAAGTCATTCTGTTTCGCTCCATTCTCTCTACATGTCCGAACCACCTCAACAACCCTTCCTCAGCCCTCTGGACAACAGTTTTGGTAATCCCGCACCTCCTCCTAACTTCCAAACTACGAATTCTCTGCATTATATTCACACCACACATTGCCCTCAGACATGACATCTCCACTGCCTCCAGCCTTCTCCTCGCTGCAACATTCATCACCCACGCTTCACACCCATATAAGAGCGTTGGTAAAACTATACTCTCATACATTCCCCTCTTTGCCTCCAAGGACAAAGTTCTTTGTCTCCACAGACTCCTAAGTGCACCACTCACTCTTTTTCCCTCATCAATTCTATGATTCACCTCATCTTTCATAGACCCATCCGCTGACACGTCCACTCCCAAATATCTGAATACGTTCACCTCCTCCATACTCTCTCCCTCCAATCTGATATTCAATCTTTCATCACCTAATCTTTTTGTTATCCTCATAACCTTACTCTTTCCTGTATTCACCTTTAATTTTCTTCTTTTGCACACCCTACCAAATAAACTATTGTTAGGCACAAAAAAACCAGCCACCAACACCCTACCAAATAAACTATTGTTAGGCACAAAAAAACCAGCCACCAACATGCAATGCATTTCAGGCAGACTAATACTGCTGTTTACAGACTACTTAATAACTAGAAATGGGTTATTAAGTAGGGGTTTTTAAATGCACAAAAAAAAGAGAGGTAGGCAAGTGAACAATAGTACAATTTTAAGCATGCATTAATACTTTAAACTGATTCATCAGAATTATTTCCCAGAAATGAATTGTGAAACAATATCAAAGATTTTGTTAATCTTTTCCACAGCCGGTGATAGTCGCATCCCACTCACAGCATCGCAACAACAGATAACAGTCACTAAGGAAAACCCACAAGGTAAGAATATGTATTAGCATAAATCTTTCATTTTTTTTTTATCAACAAACGAGCCGTATCTGACCAAGGCAAGGTGGCCCAAAAAGAAAAACAAAAGTTTCCCTTTTTAAATTTAGTAATTGATACAGGAGAAGGGGTTACTAGCCCTTTGCTACCGGCATTTTAGTTGCCTCTTACAACATGCATGACTTACGGAGGAAGAATTCTGTTCCACTTCCCCATGGAGATAACAGGAAATAAACAAGAACTAGAAAGAAAACAGAAGAAAACCCAGAGGGGTGTGTATATAGTATATGCTTGTACATGTATGTACTCACCTAATTGAGGTTGCAGGGGTCGAGTCCAAGCTCCTGTGACCTAAGTGTAAGTAGAAGTAGCAAGACGTACCTGAAACCTTGCATGTTTACGAGACAAAAAATGGACACCAGCAATCCTACCATCATGTAAAACAATTACAGGATTCCATTTTACACTCACTTGGCAGGACGGTAGTACCTCCCTGGGTGGTTGTTGTCTACCAACCTACTACCTAGAAAATCTTTTACATTATTATAATTATTATTATTATTATTATTATAATATTACTGGCAGGCCCCACTTATACAGCACATTAGGTTCCGGGCTACTGTAGGGACCCACTTATACAGCAGGTTAGTTTCCAGGTTACTATAGGGCCCCACTCATACAGCAGGTTAGGATTCGGACTACAGTAGGGCCCAGCTTGTACATCAGGTTATGCTCTGGGCTACTGTAGGGCCCCACTTATACAGCAGGTTAGGTTCTGAGCTACTGTTGTAAAATGAAAATTGCTGTAAAGCAAATCATAGCCTTTTTTCACTTTCAAATACATACAAAAGCCTGACAACATATTTACACTATTATATACTAAGTGAGCAATATAGTTAGGCCTAAAGCATGCATATACAGTACACACAATATTTAACTTAAAATATTTTGGTCCTTAGCTTACAGTGAGTGGTGAATATATTTATTGTAGAAAGTCTAAATAAATGAAGAATGGGTATTATTGAAAACCACTGCATTAGCGAAGTGCCATAAAGTGAAGCATTGTCAAGTGGTGGGTCCTCCTGTATTTCAAACTCTCTACTATATTTATTACAACTGACATAAGTGACAGTTGATGGCTAGAATAATCACTTAGATCTTAAATAATTTAAAATTTATTTAATGAGATGTTTAGTAATCTAAGCATTAATTATACTACTAATAATTAAAATAATCATGCAGATGTTCAGTAATTTAAGTATTATTCAGTCTAATCAAAATAAACATTTACACGGGTGAAGATATGTTGCAGTTTTTCAAGTGTAGAGTCGGCACATCTCTGGCAAGACAGTGATGGAGTGAGTGATGATGAAAGTGTTTCTTCTTTTTCGGGTCACCCTGCCTCAGTGGGCAACAGCCAACGTGTCAGTAAAAAAAGGAATACTCTCATTATATGCACTAACGAGCCACTGGTAAGTTTCTTTGGATCTCTGACCCTGACAGAAGCAAGACCCTTGGAGTGTTACCTTGGAGACCTCAGCATTGCACTTGCATCACCCCTCAACACCAGCGAGTGCAGTATCAATTGCAAGTGCATAACACCACCAGAGCCCACCTGTGTGCTGTACAGGTCATGTACACTTGCTGAAGAAGTGAAGAACAATCAAGGTAATTTATATAGTGCTTTATTTTTAATATTATTATTACATTTATTGGGAAGCTCTCATCTTATTTAGGTCCTACAGTGGCTAGGGACAGAGAAGTAATTAAGTTTGGTCCAAGGTAGGGAAGGTATTGTAGCTCCAATTCCTTGGAAAAAGAGCCTTTCACGAGCATCAAGGTATCCTTGAAAGGTCAATGTTGGAGATAAGAGGGCTTTGAAATTCGAATTGAATGCTTGTGTTGTACTCTCCTGATATACAGTAACTAATTATTATTATTAAGTCTTGTCGTGCTTGTTTTTTTTTTTAAGAATGTGTTGAGCCATCGTGTTCTCCTGGATGTGATGTTATCATGGATGCTGTAACTGGGTGTCTTGCTTGCTCATGCAACGAAGACAACTTCATATGCCCACAAAAGATTTGCCCTAGAAACTGTGAAAACATCTTTGATCTTCAAACGGGCTGCCCCTCGTGCAAATGCAACTGCTCGTATGACTCGGCTACCGGAACCCCATGCCCGGTGGACTGTGTTGTTCATGAGGTTGTAGATGAACTGACTGGATGTAAGAGATGCGAATGTGATCCTAATAGTTTGGGCAGTCCAGTTGTTCAACGTCAAGTCTGTCCTGTGAATTTCACAGCCCCTTGTCCTATGGACTGTGCGGTTATTAGAATTCTGGATGAGGAAACGGGTTGTGAAAAGTGTGAATGTGATCCAAATAATCCAGGTGATCTATTTGGCCTACATCAACTTCCTCGTGCACATTACTGCCCCACAGATCACACTGGTAAGCCTCCTTGCCCCATGGACTGTGCAATCCACTATATTGTGGATGAAGAAACTGGCTGTGAAAAGTGTGAATGTGATCCAAATAATCCAGATAATCCATTTGGCCTACATCAACTTCCTCGTGCACATTACTGCCCCACAGATCACACTGGTAAGCCTCCTTGCCCCATGGACTGTGCAATCCACTATACTGTGGATGAAGAAACTGGCTGTGAAAAGTGCGAATGTGACCCAAATAATCCAGCAAATCCATTTGGCCTACATCAGCTTCCTCCTCCTCTTCCTCAGCCTTCTGGCCAGGACTGCCCCATAGATCACACTGGTAAGCTTCCTTGCCCCATGGACTGTGCAATCCACTATGTTGTGGATAAAAAGACTGGCTGTGAAAAGTGCGAATGTGACCCAAACATACAAACCAACATATTTGGCCTGCATCTGGTTCCTCTTCCTCCTCCCACCCACAAATAGTCAACACAACAAAACTGACTAACCCCCTTGGTTCTACAAGCTGTGCATTCTACAGTCATGCATCACAAAGCAGGTTTAATAATGCACTGTGGGACTGTATCTCTTGTAGCCTCCGTAATTTGTCCGCTCAGCCATTATTTTGTTTTAGAATATAATTAGAAAATAAAAAAATATTTTACATCCACTTGTGTTTATACTGTCCTAGATTATAAGGTTAAATTGAAAATATTATATCAATCTTATTATTATTATTAATATTTTAACACACTGGCCATCTCCCACTGAGGCAAGATGACTCAAAAAAGAAGTAACATTTTCACCATTATTTACTTCATTATCATCTTGACAGAGGCACACTCACATTACAGCTCGGATGCCCCTCCAGACTACATCATCATACCCCTCTAGGACTCAAGTCCAGTTAACTGGACTTGAGTCTGGCTAACTGGACTCCAGGATAACAGCTCATAGCCTGCAAATTCAAGAGTATAAAAAAAAATTACATGAGAGTGATGTAGGTGTTTAAACCTACTGCACCATAAATAAAAAACTTTTCTTTATCTATGGCATCTGGAGGCAGCAGTTGTGAAATTAACAGCAGATTAAATCTCCCAAAATAAAAATGGAAACACACACTATATACATAATCTTCTAACATCAAAAATCTGACTGTGCAGACTGATGATGTATTTTAACAATAATAACTGAAGGAGGGGCATTAATGTTGCAGTTTAAAAACTGTAGTGTAAAGCACCCTTCTGGCAAGACAGTGATGGAGTGAATGATGGTGAAAGTTTTTCTTTTTCGGGCCACCCTGCCTTGGTGGGAATCGGCCAGTGTGATAAAAAAAAAAAAAAAAAACTTTATTTTAGCATGATACATGTTTGTACAAAGGAGTATAACAACTGAGTGTGCGCCCAAAACCCCTTTATATGCCGAGCATTTTGGGCAAACATAAGACTAATTTAAGTCTTGCGTCAACTAATACAAGGTCTATAACCTTCAATAAGTTAACTAATTACTCTGTTCAAAATGCTCATGCATGCTAGTGGCTTTCTTTGCACTTCACAATATTTAAAAATATGTAAATTACACATTGTAAGCATTGCAAATAAATAATTTTGATTTTAATTTTGTAGTTGCCCGAAATGCTCAGCATAACAAGGGGCTTTCTACATAGTAGTATGTCAATGAATATACCTTGTACATGTACTTGTAGAAATAGAGATATTAATATTAAAAATATTAATATTAATAGTAGTCAGAAAAAGCATTACTATGATGACTTATTAGAGAGAGATGGAAGCTTATTGTATTATTGCAGGCTAGTCTATCTTTCTCTGTCTATTGGACATGTAAGTTATTAGGTAAATGTTAGACTTCTACCTAGTAAGCTTTCTTATGAAGTTCCTCTATAAAGTCTTAAATATTTCATAAAATTTGAGTAATTATTATTATTATTATAATTAAAACTAAAATGCTAAACAATAATAATAATGGAAATAATAATAATAATAATAATAATAATAATATTTCTGTAATTATGTCCCTGAAAAATAAAGTTAGTAATAAAGAGCATATATAATTATGTCCCTGAAAAATAAAGTTGGTAATAAAGAGCATATATAATTATGTCCCTGAAAAATAAAGTTGGTAATAAAGAGCATATATAATTATGTCCCTGAAAAATAAAGTTGGTAATAAAGAGCATATATAATTATGTCCCTGAAAAATAAAGCTGGTATAAAGAATGTATATAACTATGTCCCTATGCAATAAATCTGGAAATAAATGACACATAATTACGTACATGAAAAATAAAGGTTGGTAATAAAGAACATATATAACTATAAAGACAACAGCTTCTCATTTATCATTATCAATTATTGTTGCATTGTTTAATAAAATAAAAAAAAATTATCTAAGACGCTTAAATTAGCAAGCAGAAGCGTCGTCGTCGTCGTCGTCGCCGCCGCCGCCCGTCGTCGCCCGTCGTCGTCGTCGTCGTCGTCGTCGTCGTCGTCGCCCGTCGCCGCCGCCGCCCGTCGTCGCCCGTCGTCGTCGTCGTCGTCGTCGTCGTCGTCGTCGTCGTCGTCGTCGCCCGTCGTCGCCCGTCGTCGCCCGTCGTCGTCGTCGCCCGTCGTCGTCGCCCGTCGTCGTCGCCCGTCGTCGCCCGTCGTCGTCGTCGCCCGTCGTCGTCGTCGCCCGTCGTCGTCGTCGCCCGTCGTCGTCGTCGCCCGCCGCCGCCGCCCGCCGCCGCCGCCCGTCGTCGTCGTCAAAATTAAGCGCTAAACCCTAGGGTCACACAGCAAAGCCTACCCGAAGCCTAAATAAAAATCTAAAATTACTTGCTTACTCTGGTGGCTTGCCTCCTGAGAGAAGCCCACTTGAAATAAGCCACCCTGGCTGGCTTGGCTGGGTTATCCGGGGTTGTGTGTGGGGTTTATAGGGCAGCTGGGAGGTGGCGCCGTATTGAACCCTAGTGAACCCTTCCATGTGGCCAGACACAACCACGCTGGTAAGTCAGTAAGTCAATAAGTCAGTAAGTTAATAAGTCAATAAGTCAGTAAGTCAATAAGTCATTAAGTCAATAAGTCAGTAAGTCAATAAGTCAGTAAGTCAGTAAGTCAGTAAGTCAATAAGTCAGTAAGTCAGTAAGTCAGTGAGTCAGTAAGTCAATAAGTCAGTAAGTCAATAAGCCAGTAAGTCAATAAGTCAATAAGTCAATAAATCAGTAAGTCAGTAAGTCAATAAGTCAGTAAGTCAATAAATCAGTAAGTCAGTAAGTCAATAAGACAGTAAGTCAATAAGCCAGTAAGTCAATAAGTCAGTAAGTCAATAAATCAGTAAGTCAGTAAGTCAATAAGTCAGTAAGTCAGTAAGTCAATAAGTCAGTAAGTCAATAAATCAGTAAGTCAATAAGTCAGTAAGTCAATAAGACAGTAAGTCAATAAGTCAGTAAGTCAGTAAGTCAATAAGTCAGTAAGTCAATAAGTCAGTAAGTCAGTAAGTCAATAAGTCAGTAAGTCAATAAGTCAATAAGTCAGTAAGTCAATAAGACAGTAAGTCAATAAGTCAGTAAGTCAGTAAGTCAATAAGTCAGTAAATCAATAAGTCAGTAAGTCAGTAAGTCAATAAGTCAGTAAGTCAATAAGTCAGTAAGTCAATAAGTCAATAAGTCAGTAAGTCAATAAGAGAGTAAGTCAATAAGTCAGTAAGTCAGTAAGTCAATAAGTCACTAAGTCAATAAGTCAGTAAGTCAATAAGTCAGTAAGTCAATAGGAAAGTAAGTAAGTAAATAATCCAGTAATTCAGAAAATAAGTCAGCTAGAAAATCAGTCAGTAAGCCAGTAAGTAAATAAGTCAGAAAGTAAAATCAGTAAATAAGTCAGTAAGTCAGTGAGTAAGTAAACCAGTAAGCAAATAAGTCAGTAAGTAAATAAAACCAGTCAATAATTTTATTTAGATACATGTACACATAAGTACAATTATCATACATAGTGCAAATTACTCACCAGGTCAAAGTGACTTATTTCCACCAGTGTTTTTGGTGGGAGATTCATTTGTATAATCTTACATTTGTGGTCGCATATCGTGACCGGATATAAATATGTAAATACTCCATTACCTTTGTAACTTGTTCAGCTATCAAAACTTTGCGGTTCAGTCCCTGGACCCATTATGTGCCTCTGTAATGTTGAGGTACAGTCCCTGGACCCATTATGTGCCTCTGTAATGTTGAGGTACAGTCCCTGGACCCATTATGTACCTCTGTAATGTTGAGGTACAGTCCCTGGACCCATTATGTGCCTCTGTAATGTTGAGGTACAGTCCCTGGACCCATTATGTGCCTCTGTAATGTTGAGGTACAGTCCCTGGACCCATTATGTACCTCTGTAATGTTGAGGTACAGTCCCTGGACCCATTATGTGCCTCTGTAATGTTGAGGTACAGTCCCTGGACCCATTATGTGCCTCTGTAATGTTGAGGTACAGTCCCTGGACCCATTATGTACCTCTGTAATGTTGAGGTACAGTCCCTGGACCCATTATGTGCCTCTGTAATGTTGAGGTACAGTCCCTGGACCCATTATGTGCCTCTGTAATGTTGAGGTACAGTCCCTGGACCCATTATGTGCCTATGTAATGTTGAGGTACAGTCCCTGGACCCATTATGTGCCTCTGTAATGTTGAGGTACAGTCCCTGGACCCATTATATACCTCTGTAATGGTGAGGTACAGTCCCTTGACCCATTATATACCTCTGTAATGGTGAGGTACAGTCCCTGGACCCATTATGTACCTCTGTAATGGTGAGGTACAGTCCCTGGACCCATTATATACCTCTGTAATGGTGAGGTACAGTCCCTGGACCCATTATGTACATCTGTAATGGTGAGGTACAGTCCCTGGACCCATTATGTACCTCTGTAATGGTGAGGTACAGTCCTTGGACCCATTCTGTACCTTGGAATGGTAAGATACAGTCCCTGGTCCCATTATGTACCTCTGTAATGGTGAGGTACAGTCCCTGGACCCATTATATACCTCTGTAATGGTGAGGTACAGTCCCTTGACCCATTATGTACCTCTGTAATGGTGAGGTACAGTCCCTGGACCCATTATGTACCTCTGTAATGGTGAGGTACAGTCCCTTGACCCATTATATACCTCTGTAACGGTGAGGTACAGTCCCTGGACCCATTATGTGCCTCTGTAATGGTAAGGTACAGTCCCTGGACCCATTATATACCTCTGTAATGTTGAGGTACAGTCCCTGGACCCATTATATACCTCTGTAATGGTGAGGTACAGTCCCTGGACCCATTCTGTACCTTGGAATGGTAAGGTACAGTCCCTGGTCCCATTATGTACCTCTGTAATGGTGAGGTACAGTCCCTGGACCCATTCCGTACCTTGGAATGGTAAGGTACAGTCCCTGGTCCCATTATGTACCTCTGTAATGATGAGGTACAGTCCCTGGACCCATTCTGTACCTTGGAATGGTAAGGTACAGTCCCTGGACCCATTATGTACCTCTGTAATGGTGAGGTACAGTCCTTGGACCCATTCTGTACCTTGAAATGGTAAGGTACAGTCCCTGGTCCCATTATCCATTATGTACCTCTGTAATATTGAGGTGCAGTCCCTGGACCCATTCTGTACCTCTGTAATGTTGAGGTACAGTCCCTGAACCCATTATGTGCCTCTGTAATGGTGAGGTACAATCCTTGGACCCATTATGTTCATCTGTAATGTTGAGGTACAGTCCCTGGACCCATTATGTACCTTTGTAATCTTGAGGTACAGTTCCTGGACCCATTATGTGCCTCTGTAATCTTAAGATACAACCTCTGGACCCATTCTGTACCTTTGTAATGGTGAGGTACAGTCCCTGGACCCATTGTGTACCTCTGTGGTGTTGAAGTACAGTCACTGGACCCATTCAGTACCTCTGTAATAGTGAGGTACAGTCCATGGACCCATTGTGTACCTCTGTAATCTTGTGACTACCACCCACACAATGGGTATGGGGTGCATAACAAAGACATTAAAATTATGGTCACAGTGGTGGCCCAGGCTAACCTCCCATTGGAGCAAAAGAATAGCTGGTTGGATGACTCTTATTAAACCAGCTGGTCCAGTGGTTAACACATGGCTTGTGAGTTATAGTACTTACTTGCCATGGGTTCAAATCCCCACCCGTTCCGTAGTTTGCCCACACTGGTGCTGTATCGAGCACTTTCTCTCAGTGTATATACACTGAGAGGTGTATGTCTTTCAGTGTATATTCTGAGGACACTTCTGCCCTGTGGGTGGCTATAACGGGTATGATCATAACCGGTAGTAGCCATGGTCTACCAGGGCGCGGGGGGCAATGCCCCGGCAGTCCGGTCCATAACCACGCCTCGTGGTGGATCAGGGCCTGATCAACCAGGCTGTTACTGTTTGCCTCACGTGAACCAATGTATGAACCATAGCCCGGCTAATCGACTGAAGAAAATGCATTTTCTCAGGGTATTTATAGGGCCACTGAGAGCCAACGCCGTATCGAACCCTTTCTTCCGGTGTCCAACCAGACGAATCCTTCATTATTGAAAAAAAAAAATGTATTCCTTTCTACTTAGTTTTTTATTATATTTTAAAAGCTTATACACTTATTTTTAAGAAGGTTAAAAAAACATTAATGTATATAGATCACAGATTTAATATTTTCAATAAATAGCAGCTTAGTACAATATTATGTAGGCTTTTTAAAATTAAAAATAGTTATTGTATCTGTTTTTAATAATGTAAATTAAAGAAATTTTGGATTAAAACAGTAAAATTTATTTTAAAGGCCGTGAACATTTAATATATTATTTTTAAGGATAAAAAGACCAATATACTTTTTTTTTAAGTTGGAAACAATTAATATATTCTATATTAAAGACAAATAGGTTACACATACAAAAAAAATCAACGAGAAATTCCTAGGAATTTTTTTCTCAAGAGTAGGCCTACTGGCAAAAGGCCCCCTCCCCCCAAAAAATATATCCGAACGTGTATTAATCAGCCTGAGTACACGACACAGAAATATAAGCCTATAATTAATTTGATGGTCATTATCCACCTTGGATAACCTAATTAAGTTAATGGAGGGGCCTGGCTAGCACATTTATCTAATTAGGGAGAACGAGCCTATGATTTTAATCTCATCCTGTTATATGCCTATATATATATTTTATATATATATATATATATATATATATATATATATATATATATATATATATATATATATATTATTAAATTACCATACTAAGATCAATTTTGGAAGATATGTCCCTCTTGTCCTCACTAGTCGTCTCTGGTCAACTCACCGCCTCCACCAATTCTGAAATCCAGAAAAAATACCTCACCTTTAACATTTTTTGCATGTGTATAGTTATTTTACAGGAATTTCTGTATGTACGAGTCTTGTACAGGTTGTTGTGGTCAGTGGGGTGGGTTTCAAGTCTATCTACTGCCTTCCCATATAATTTTATTTGTTATAGTTTGATACTATAGTGTTAATGGATAAAAAATTGAGTGTCTGTTCCACAGAGGTCAGTCTATATATCGGAATTTTGATTTTGATTTTAGAGAAGCAGGTTTGTCCTAGTGAAGGTTTTAAGGATGAAGGAGGATGTTAGGATGGTTGGTAGGATGCTAAGATGGTTGGTAGGATGCTAGGATGGTTGGTAGGATGCTAGGATGGTTGGTAGGATGCTAGGATGGTTGGTAGGATGCTAGGATGGTTGGTAGGGTGCTAGGATGGTTGGTAGGATGCTAGGATGGTTGGTAGGATGCTAGGATGGTTGGTAGGATGCTAGGATGGTTGGTAGGATGCTAGGATGGTTGGTAGGATTCTAGGATGGTTGGTAGGATGCTAGGATGGTTGGTAGGATGCTAGGATGGTTGGTAGGATGCTAGGATGGTTGGTAGGATGCTAGGAAGGTTGGTAGGATGCTAGGATGGTTGGTAGGATGCTAGGATGGTTGGTAGGGTGCTAGGATGGTTGGTAGGATGCTAGGATGGTTGGTAGGATGCTAGGATGGCTGGGTGGTAGTAGGATGCTAGGATGGTTGGTAGGATGCTAGGATGGCTGGGTGGTAGTAGGACGCTAGGATGGTTGGTAGGATGCGAGGATAGTTGGTAGGATGCTATGATGGTTGGTAGGATGCTAGGATGGTTGGTAGGATGCTATGATGGGTGGTAGGATGCTAGGATGGCTGGTAGGATGCTAGGATGGCTGGTAGGATGCTAGGATGGCTGAGTGGTAGTAGGATGCTAGGATGGTTGGTAGGATGCTAGGATGGTTGGTAGGATGCTAGGATAGTTGGTAGGATGCTAGGATGGCTGGTAGGACGCTAGGATGGTTGGTAGGATGCTAGGATGGTTGGTAGGATGCTAGGATGGTTGGTAGGATGCTAGGATGGTTGGTAGGATGCTAGGATGGTTGGTAGGATGCTAGGATGGTTGGTAGGATGCTAGGATGGCTGTTAGGATGCTAGGATGGCTGGGTGGAAGGAAGATGCTAGGATGGTGGTAGGGACAGGGGTGATGCTAGGATGACTGGATGGTTGTAGGATGCTAGGATGGTGGTAGGGACAGTGGTGATTTTAGGATGACTGGATGGTTGTAGGATGCTAGGATGGTGGTAGGGACAGTGGTGATGCTAGGATGACTGGATGGTTGTAGGATGCTAGGATGGTTGGGTAGTCGGATGCTAGGATGGCTAGGTGGTGAGGATGCTAGGATGGTTGGGTAGTAGGATGCTAGGATGGTGGTAGGGACAGTGGTGATGCTAGGATGACTGGATGGTTGTAGGATGCTAGGATGGTGGTAGGGACAGTGGTGATGCTAGGATGACTGGATGGTTGTAGGATGCTATGATGGTTGGTAGGATGCTAGGATAGTTGGTAGGATGCTATGATGGTTGGTAGGATGCTAGGATGGTTGGTAGGATGCTATGATGGGTGGTAGGATGCTAGGATGGCTGGTAGGATGCTAGGATGGCTGGTAGGATGCTAGGATGGCTGAGTGGTAGTAGGATGCTAGGATGGTTGGTAGGATGCTAGGATGGTTGGTAGGATGCTAGGATAGTTGGTAGGATGCTAGGATGGCTGGTAGGACGCTAGGATGGTTGGTAGGATGCTAGGATGGTTGGTAGGATGCTAGGATGGTTGGTAGGATGCTAGGATGGTTGGTAGGATGCTAGGATGGTTGGTAGGATGCTAGGATGGCTGTTAGGATGCTAGGATGGCTGGGTAGAAGGAAGATGCTAGGATGGTGGTAGGGACAGGGGTGATGCTAGGATGACTGGATGGTTGTAGGATGCTAGGATGGTGGTAGGGACAGTGGTAATTTTAGGATGACTGGATGGTTGTAGGATGCTAGGATGGTGGTAGGGACAGTGGTGATGCTAGGATGACTGGATGGTTGTAGGATGCTAGGATGGTTGGGTAGTCGGATGCTAGGATGGCTAGGTGGTGAGGATGCTAGGATGGTTGGGTAGTAGGATGCTAGGATGGTGGTAGGGACAGTGGTGATGCTAGGATGACTGGATGGTTGTAGGATGCTAGGATGGTGGTAGGGACAGTGGTGATGCTAGGATGACTGGATGGTTGTAGGATGCTATGATGGTTGGTAGGATGCTAGGATGGTTGGTATGATGCTAGGATGGTTGGTATGATGCTAGGATGGTTGGTAGGATGCTAGGATGGTTGGTATGATGCTAGGATGGTTGGTAGGATACTATGATGGATGGTAGGATGCTAGGATGGCTGGTAGGATGCTAAGATGGCTGGGTGGTAGTAGGATGCTAGGATGGTTGGTAGGATGCTAGGATGGCTGGGTGGTAGTAGGACGCTAGGATAGTTGGTAGGATGCTAGGATAGTTGGTAGGATGCTATGATGGTCGGTAGGATGCTAGGATGGTTGGTAGGATGCTATGATGGGTGGTAGGATGCTAGGATGCCTGGTAGGATGCTAGGATGGCTGGGTGGTAGTAGGATGCTTGGATGGTTGGTAGGATGCTAGGATGGTTGGTAGGATGCTGTGATGGTTGGTAGGATGCAGGATTTCTATGATGGGTGGTAGGATGCTAGGATGGCTGGTAGGATGCTAGGATGGCTGGGTGGTAGTAGGATGCTAGGATGGTTGGTAGGATGCTAGGATGGTTGGTAGGATGCTATGATGGGCGGTAGGATGCTAGGATGGCTGGTAGGATGCTAGGATGCCTGGTAGGATGCTAGGATGGCTGGGTGGTAGTAGGATGCTAGGATGGTAGTAGGATGCTATGATGGGTGGTAGGATGCTAGGATGGCTGGGTGGTAGTAGGATGCCAGGATGGTAGTAGGATGCTATGATGGGTGGTAGGATGCTAGGATGGCTGGTAGGATGCTAGGATGGCTGGGTGGTAGTAGGACGCTAGGATAGTTGGTAGGATGCTAGGATAGTTGGTAGGATGCTATGATGGTTGGTAGGATGCTAGGATGGTTGGTAGGATGCTATGATGGGTGGTAGGATGCTAGGATGCCTGGTAGGATGCTAGGATGGCTGGGTGGTAGTAGGATGCTTGGATGGTTGGTAGGATGCTAGGATGGTTGGTAGGATGCTGTGATGGTTGGTAGGATGCTAGGATGCTATGATGGGTGGTAGGATGCTAGGATGGCTGGTAGGATGCTAGGATGGCTGGGTGGTAGTAGGATGCTAGGATGGTTGGTAGGATGCTAGGATGGTTGGTAGGATGCTATGATGGGCGGTAGGATGCTAGGATGGCTGGTAGGATGCTAGGATGGCTGGTAGGATGCTAGGATGGCTGGTAGGATGCTAGGATGGCTGGGTGGTAGTAGGATGCTTGGATGGTAGTAGGATGCTATGATGGGTGGTAGGATGCTAGGATGGCTGGGTGGTAGTAGGATGCTAGGATGGTAGTAGGATGCTATGATGGGTGGTAGGATGCTAGGATGGTTGGGTGGTAGTAGGATGCTAGGATGGTGGTAGGGACAGTGGTGATGCTAGGATGGCTGGGTGGTAGTAGGATGCTAGGATGGCTGGGTGGTAGTAGGATGCTAGGATGGTGGTAGGGACAGTGGTGATGCTAGGATGCTAGGGTGGCTGGTAGGATGCTAGGATGGCTGGGTGGTAGTAGGATGCTAGGATGGTGGTAGGGACAGTGGTGATGCTAGGATGCTAGGATGGTGGTAGGGACAGTGGTGATGCTAGGATGCTAGGATGGCTGGTAGGATGCTAGGATGGCTGGGTGGTAGTAGGATGCTAGGATGGTGGTAGGGACAGTGGTGATGCTAGGGATGGCTGGTAGGATGTAGGATGGCTGGGTGGTAGTAGGATGCTAGGATGGTGGTAGGGACAGTGGTGATGCTAGGATGCTAGGATGCTAGGATGGCTGGTAGGATGCTAGGATGGCTGGGTGGTAGTAGGATGCTAGGATGGTGGAAGGGACAGTGGTGATGCTAGGATGGCTGGTAGGATGCTAGGATGGCTGGGTGGTAGTAGGATGCTAGGATGGTGGTAGGGACAGTGGTGATGCTAGGATGGCTGGTAGGATGCTAGGATGGCTGGGTGGTAGTAGGATGCTAGGATGGTGGTAGGGACAGTTGTGATGCTAGGATGGCTGGTAGGATGCTAGGATGGCTGGGTGGTAGTAGGATGCTAGGATAGTGGTAGGGACAGTGGTGATGCTAGGATGCTAGGATGGCTGGGTGGTAGTAGGATGCTAGGATTGTGGTAGGGACAGTGGTGATGCTAGGATGGCTGGGTGGTAGTAGGATGCTAGGATGGTGGTAGGGACAGTGGTGATGCTAGGATGGCTGGGTGGTAGTAGGATGCTAGGATGGTGGTAGGGACAGTGGTGATGCTAGGATGGCTGGGTGGTAGTAGGATGCTAGGATGGTGGTAGGGACTGTGGTGATGCTAGGATGGCTGGGTGGTAGTAGGATGCTAGGATGGTGGTAGGGACTGTGGTGATGCTAGGATGGCTGGGTGGTAGTAGGATGCTAGGATGGTGGTAGGGACAGTGGTGATGCTAGGATGGCTGGGTGGTAGTAGGATGCTAGGATGGTGGTAGGGACTGTGGTGATGCTAGGAGACCCAAGATAAAGTGTAACACCGTAGTACTAACTGCCTTGGAGATAGGAAGACGGAATAGATGCTGGTGATCATAGTTCATCCTTCCCTTCTCCTCTTCCTTCTGCTGCTCGTCCTCCTCCTCTTCCTTCTCCTCCTCTTCCTGCTCCTCCTCCTGCTGTAGAGGACTGTATGCCCAGGTGTTTAACCTTTTAGTCACCGCTGCTGACCCTGGCGAGGCTTGCCTGCCGGAGTGAACATTGTTCAAGACTGATATTACATAGATAATGATTTGGAACAAAGAAAAAAAACATAGAAAGAACTAAAAACTCACAATACTGTGACTGGAATGATACACAAATAACCCGCACATAAAGGAGCGAAACTTGGGACGACGTTTCCCTTCCATTAACTAGTCACACTAATACAAGAGAGTGAGGGAGCCAGTGTATATAGGCGGGGGAGGACAGGGACGGGACACAGAGAGGAAGACAAGGAAATAGTTTACTATCAGTAAGGTAATGTCAACAGCCTGGTTGATCAGGCCTTCATCCGCCGCAAGGCTTGATCATGGATGGGGCCAAGGGGGCGAAGACCCCCCGGAACACCCTCCAGGTGCATTCCAGGTATACTCCTGGTGTACTCCTGGTATACTCCAGGTGTACTCCAGGTATACTCCTGGTATACTCCAGGTATACTCCAGGTATACTCCAGGTATACTCCAGGTATACTCCTGGTATACTCCTCGTATACTCCAGGTATACTCCAGGTATACTCCTGGTATACTCCTGGTATACTCCAGGTATACTCCAGGTATACTCCAGATTTACTCCAGGTATACTCCTGGTATACTCCAGGTGTACTCCAGGTATACTCCAGGTGTACTCCAGGTATACTCCAGGTATACTCCTGGTATACTCCTGGTATACTGCAGGTACACTCCAGGTATACTTCAGGTATACTCCAGGTATACTCCAGGTATACTCCAGGTATACTCCTGGAACACTCCAGGTATACTCCAGGTACACTCCTGGTATACTCCTGGTATACTCCAGGTATACTCCAGGTATACTCCAGGTATACTCCTGGTATACTCCAGGTATACTCCAGGTACACTCCAGTTATACTCCAGGTATACTCCAGGTACACTCCAGGTATACTCCAGGTATACTCCAGGTATACTCCAGGTATACTCCAGGTATACTCCAGGTATACTCCAGGTATACTCCTGGTACACTCCAGGTATACTCCAGGTATACTCCAGGTACACTCCTGGTATACTCCTGGTACACTCCAGGTATACTCCAGGTATACTCCTGGTATACTCCTGGTATACTCCAGGTACACTCCTGGTACACTCCAGGTATACTCCAGGTATACTCCAGGTATACTCCAGGTGTACTCCAGGCATACTCCAGGTATACTCCAGGTATACTCCAGGTATATAAATGTTAAGTAAGCAGACAGCAAACCACTACCTTACTGCTGTCACACACTACTACTACACCTTACTGCTGTCACACACTACTACTACAACTTACTGCTGTCACACACTACTACTACAACTTACTGCTGTCACACACTACTACTACAACTTACTGCTGTCACACACTACTACTACACCTTACTGCTGTCACACACTACTACTACACCTTACTGCTGTCACACTACTACTACACCTTACTGCTGTCACACACTACTACTACAACTTACTGCTGTCACACACTACTACTACAACTTAATGCTGTCACACACTACTACTACAACTTACTGCTGTCACACACTACTACTACACCTTACTGCTGTCACACACTACTACTACACCTTACTGCTGTCACACACTACTACTACACCTTACTGCTGTCACACACTACTACTACACCTTACTGCTGTCACACACTACTACTACACCTTACTGCTGTCACACTACTACTACACCTTACTGCTGTCACACACTACTACTACAACTTACTGCTGTCACACACTACTACTACAACTTACTGCTGTCACACACTACTACTACAACTTACTGCTGTCACACACTACTACTACACCTTACTGCTGTCACACACTACTACTACAACTTACTGCTGTCACACACTACTACTACACCTTACTGCTGTCACACACTACTACTACAACTTACTGCTGTCACACACTACTACTACACCTTTCTGCTGTCACACACTACTACTACAACTTACTGCTGTCACACACTACTACTACACCTTACTGCTGTCACACACTACTACTACAACTTACTGCTGTCACACACTACTACTACACCTTACTGCTGTCACACACTACTACTACAACTTACTGCTGTCACACACTACTACTAAAACTTACTGCTGTCACACACTACTACTACACCTTACTGCTGTCACACACTACTACTACACCTTACTGCTGTCACACACTACTACTACAACTTACTGCTGTCACACACTACTACCACACCTTTCTGCTGTCACACACTACTACTACAACTTACTGCTGTCACACACTACTACTACACCTTTCTGCTGTCACACACTACTACTACACCTTACTGCTGTCACACAATACTACTACACCTTTCTGCTGTCACACACTACTACTACACCTTTCTGCTGTCACACACTACTACTACACCTTACTGCTGTCACACACTACTACTACACCTTACTGCTGTCACACACTACTACTACAACTTACTGCTGTCACACACTACTACTACAACTTACTGCTGTCACACACTACTACTACACCTTACTGCTGTCACACACTACTACTACACCTTACTGCTGTCACACACTACTACTACAACTTACTGCTGTCACACACTACTACTACAACTTACTGCTGTCACACACTACTACTACACCTTACTGCTGTCACACACTACTACTACAGCCTTACTGCTGTCACACACTACTACTACAGCCTCCATCTACGACTTTAATTCCTGTATGAACTCTTTATAATGCAAATAGTTACATATTGTATATTTTTTGTGTACATAATATGTTTGGCTTCAAGAAAATTACAAATAATGAAGCCTGGTGTGTAGACGAGACGGTTCAGAACGAAGATACCTAACTGTTGGACATGTGTCTTGGTCATCTACCTGCCGGTGTCATGTAAGTTATTATTTTAAGGCTGAGAAGAATGTGCCTAGTATGGGCCAGTAGGCCTGCTGCAGTGTTCCTCCATTCTTATGTTAACATTAATGATATTCAGTGTGGAGAGGTTGATGAATAAGATACGTGTGTGTGTGACAGCTGGGTGTCTTGACTACGCTGTTTCGCCCAGCTAGTGGCTTTGTCCAGTGAATACAGAGGTTGTCTCCAAGTGTTGAATCAGGAGATAATGGAAGACTAGGTAATCAGTCCCTCAGCCTTGACGAGAGTGTTCAACACTGTAGATTCATCAAGGTGTTCAACACTTTCATCAAGACTGAGGGACTGATTACCTATTCTTGTACTGTCTCCTGTTGTAACACTTTCCAATGACCTCTGTACTGAATTGATAAAGTCACTGGCTGGTCAAAACTTCTTCAGAATGCAATAAATTGATTTTGTTACAGCTACACATTAATAATCATACATAGTTTAAGATACGTGTAAATTACCCACAACAAAAAGTCAGACAAAGTGACTGATTTCCATCGGGGTTCTTGTAATATCTTATTTAAAGTCTGACCCTGATCCACCATGAGGCCTGGTCTCAGAGCGAGCTAAGGGGGCGCTGGCCCCCGAAATCCTCTCCAGGTAAGTTACAGTAGAAATCAGTCATGATTAAAAGTTAAAGGAGCTAAGTAACTCATCTGTGTGTTACACAGGTGTTTAATTCAAGGTAATTCTACCAATATATATACTAATTCATCAAGAACCCCAATGGGTATTTTGCACACATGTTAGTATGTGTGATAATCGTGCAGGTTGTTCTCACTCGTCCCCTCAAGGAAGGTTCCTTGATGTTGGTGAGGGGCTCTTGATTTAGGGAATTGGATCTGTGCTCCAGTTCCCCGAATTAAGCCTGAATGCCTTCCACATCCCCCCCCCCCAGGCGCTGTATAATCCTCCGGGTTTAGCGCTTCCCCCTTGATTATATTAATAATATTAATGTTCTCACTCGTAGGAGACCCTGAGTTGATACTCCAGTAGTTACGACCCTCTTGTTTGTGTATTATATCTGTGGCAAGCGATAATTCGGGGCCTCCTACCAGTGAAACACCGTGTACACATGTGTACCTGTGCCTAAATAAACTTACTTACTTACTTGCTTGCTTACTTTCTTACTTACGATCTTCTGTTACTAAGACCCACCTCTTGTAGCGAACGTCGTTGTAATCATCAAGAGTACCGTAGTAGAGAACTGCGTCTGGATCCACCTCACTGGAGCCGCCCAGTCTCTCACCCCGTTCATCGGAGCCGCCCATCCTGCCACCCCGCCCACTGATGCCGCCCATGATGTCCACCTCCTCGTTGATGTCGTCCATAAGGCCGTCAGCCCTCAGATCGAGACCCAAGTCAGCAAGCTGATTTCCTGCTGACGGTGCCAGGAACCGACCCTCGGGGTTCCTGTTTAAGGAAAACAAACGCTGTTTAGGATATAAAAGAGGATAATAATGGCATGACTGGAAACATTAGGATGTATTTCTTTAAGGTACCTGTTGTCCGCGTTCACCTGGGTGTTAATTGACTGGTGTGGGTCGCATCCTGGGGGACCTAATTTGCAGGAAATGCTCAGCATAACAAGGGACTTTATATATAGTAGTATGTCAGTGATGTCAGCTATGGTCTGTATACCTTGTACATGTACTTGTAGAAATAAAGATTATTATTATTATTATTATTATTATTATTATTATTATTATTATTATTATTATTATTATTATTATTATTATTATTATTATTATTATTATTATTATTATTATCCACCAGGACCGGTGGCCTGGTGGCTAAAGCTCCTGCTTCACACATGGAGGGCCCGGGTTCGATTCCCGGTGGGTGGAAACATATCGACACGTTTCCTTTGTCCTGTTCACCTAGCAGCAAATAGGTATCTGGGTGTTAGTCGACTGGTGTGGGTCGCATCCTGGGGAACAAGATTAAGGACCCCAATAGAAATAAGTTAGAGAGTCCTCGATGACGCACTGACTTTCTTGGGTTATCCTGGGTGGCTAACCCTCCGGGGTTAAAAATCCGAACGAAATCTTATCTTAATTCTGAAGACGGATAAGGAATGAAAAGATTATAGACTTTTCAAGTGTGAACATTGTCACGTATCATCCAAGCTTCTCGGAGCACCAAGCACCGTCACCACTGCTACAACAACCAACAATAATTACCACACACAATATATATATATATATATATATATATATATATATATATATATATATATATATATATATATATATATATATATATATATATATAAAATGCCGGGAGCAATGGGCTAATAACCCCTTCTCCTGTAGACATTTACTAAAAAAGAGAAGAAGAAAAACTTTATAAAACTGGGATGCTTAAATGTGCGTGGATGTAGTGCGGATGACAAGAAACAGATGATTGCTGATGTTATGAATGAAAAGAAGTTGGATGTCCTGGCTCTAAGCGAAACAAAGCTGAAGGGGGTAGGGGAGTTTCGGTGGGGGGAAATAAATGGGATTAAATCTGGAGTATCTGAGAGAGTTAGAGCAAAGGAACGGGTAGCAGTAATGTTGAATGATCAGTTATGGAAGGAGAAAAGAGAATATGAATGTGTAAATGCAAGAATTATGTGGATTAAAGTAAAGGTTGGATGCGAGAAGTGGGTCATAATAAGCGTGTATGCACCTGGAGAAGAGAGGAATGCAGAGGAGAGAGAGAGATTTTGGGAGATGTTAAGTGAATGTATAGGAGCCTTTGAACCAAGTGAGAGAGTAATTGTGGTAGGGGACCTGAATGCTAAAGTAGGATAAACTTTTAGAGAGGGTGTGGTAGGTAAGTTTGGGGTGCCAGGTGTAAATGATAATGGAAGCCCTTTGATTGAACTTTGTATAGAAAGGGGTTTAGTTATAGGTATACATATTTAAGAAAAAGAGGATAAATAAGTATACAAGATATGATGTAGGGCGAAATGACAGTAGTTTGTTGGATTATGTATTGGTAGATAAAAGACTGTTGAGTAGACTTCAGGATGTACATGTTTATAGAGGGGCCACAGATATATCAGATCACTTTCTAGTTGTAGCTACACTGAGAGTAAAAGGTAGATGGGATACAAGGAGAATAGAAGCATCAGGGAAGAGAGAGGTGAAGGTTTATAAACTAAAAGAGGAGGCAGTTAGGGAAAGATATAAACAGCTATTGGAGGATAGATGGGCTAATGAGAGCATAGGCAATGGGGTCGAAGAGGTATGGGGTAGGTTTAAAAATGTAGTGTTAGAGTGTTCAGCAGAAGTTTGTGGTTACAGGAAAGTGGGTACGGGAGGGAAGAGGAGCGATTGGTGGAATGATGATGTAAAGAGAGTAGTAAGGGAGACAAAGTTAGCATATGAGAAGTTTTTACAAAGTAGAAGTGATGCAAGGAGGGAAGAGTATATGGAGAAAAAGAGAGAGGTTAAGAGAGTGGTGAAGCAATGTAAAAAGAGAGTAAATGAGAGAGTGGGTGAGAAGTTATCAACAAATTTTGTTGAAAATAAGAAAAAGTTTTGGAGAGAGATTAACAAGTTAAGGAAGCCTAGAGAACAAATGGATTTGTCAGTTAAAAATAGGAGAGGAGAGTTATTAAATGGAGAGTTAGAGGTATTGGGAAGATGGAGGGAATATTTTGAGGAATTGTTAAATGTTGATGAAGATAGGGAAGTTGTGATTTCGTGTATAGGGCAAGGAGGAATAACATTTTGTAGGAGTAAGGAAGAGCCAGTTGTGAGTGTGAGGGGAAGTTCGTGAGGCAGTAGGTAAAATGAAAGGGGGTAAGGTAGCCGGGATTGATGGGATAAAGATAGAAATGTTAAAAGCAGGTGGGGATATAGTTTTGGAGTGGTTGGTGTAATTATTTAATAAATGTATGGAAGAGGGTAAGGTACCTAGGGATTGGCAGAGAGCATGCATAGTTCCTTTGTATAAAGGCAAAGGGGATAAAAGAGAGTGCAAAATTATAGGGGGATAAGTCTGTTGAGTATACCTGGTAAAGTGTATGGTAGAGTTATTATTGAAAGAATTAAAAGTAAGACTGAAAATAGGATAGCAGATGAACAAGGAGGCTTTAGGAAAGGTAGGGGGTGTGTGGACCAGGTGTTTACAGTGAAACATATAAGTGAACAGTATTTAGATAAGGCTAAAGAGGTCTTTGTGGCATTTATGGATTTGGAAAAGGCGTTATGACAGGGTGGATAGGGGGGCAATGTGGCAGATGTTGCAGGTGTATGGTGTAGGAGGTAGGTTACTGAAAGCAGTGAAGAGTTTTTACGAGGATAGTGAGGCTCAAGTTAGAGTACATAGGAAAGAGGGAAATTATTTCCCGTAAAAGTAGGCCTTAGACAGGGATGTGTGATGTCACCGTGGTTGTTTAATATATTTATAGATGGGGTTGTAGAGAAGTAAATGCGAGGGTCTTGACAAGAGGCGTGGAGTTAAAAGATAAAAATCACACATAAAGTGGGAGTTGTCACAGTTGCTCTTTGCTGATGACACTGTGCTCTTGGAGATTCTGAAGAGAAGTTGCAGAGATTGGTGGATGAATTTGGTAGGGTGTGCAAAAGAAGAAAATTAAAAGTGAATACAGGAAAGAGTAAGGTTATGAGGATAACAAAAATATTAGGTGATGAAAGATTGGATATCAGATTGGAGGGAGAGAGTATGGAGGAGGTGAATGTATTCAGATATTTGGGAGTGGACGTGTCAGCAGATGGGTCTATGAAGGATGAGGTGAATCATAGAATTGATGAGGGGAAAAGGGTGAGTGGTGCACTTAGGAGTCTGTGGAGACAAAGAACTTTGTCCTTGGAGGCAAAGAGGGGAATGTATGAGAGTATAGTTTTACCAACACTCTTATGTGGGTGTGAAGTATGGGTGATGAATGTTGCAGCGAGGAGAAGGCTGGAGGCAGTGGAGATGTCATGTCTGAGGGCAATGTGTGGTGTGAATATAATGCAGAGAATTTCGTAGTTTGGAAGTTAGGAGGAGGTGCGGGATTACCAAAACTGTTGTCCAGAGGGCTGAGGAAGGGTTGTTGAGGTGGTTCGGACATGTAGAGAGTATGGAGCGAAACAGAATAACTTCAAGAGTGTATCAGTCTGTAGTGGAAGGAAGGCGGGGGTAGGGGTCGGCCTAGGAAAGGTTGGAGGGAGGGGGTAAAGGAGGTTTTGTGTGCGAGGGGCTTGGACTTCCAGCAGGCATGCGTGAGCGTGTTTGATAGGAGTGAATGGAGACGAATGGTTTTTAATACTTGACGTGCTGTGGAGTGTGAGCAAAGTAACATTTATGAAGGGGTTCAGGGAAACCGGCAGGCCGGACTTGAGTCCTGGAGATGGGAAGTACAGTGCCTGCACTCTGAAGGAGGGGTGTTAATGTTGCAGTTTAAAAACTGTAGTGTAAAGCACCCTTCTGGCAAGACAGTGATGGAGTGAATGATGGTGAAAGTTTTTTCTTTTCGGGTCACCCTGCCTTGGTGGGAATCGGCCAGTGTGATAATAATAAAAATAGAATATATATATATATAATATATATTATATATATATTATATATATATATATAATATATATATATAATATATATATATATATATATATATATATATATATAATATATATATATATATATATATATATATATGTTTAATACACACGCACCTCTCTCTCTCTCTCTCTCTCTCTCCCTCTCTCTCTCTCTCTCTCTCTCTCTCTCTCCTCTCTCTCTCTCTCTCTCTCTCTCTCTCTCTCTCCATCTTCATCCACCAGTAGATTACTGTCTTCTACTTTAAGCTGTCAGTTACTCTGCTCTCAGAAGATAGCAAGGGAGAGGTTTAAACACCTTCACTACCTGTGGTCACACTACCTGTAGTCACACCAATACCTGTGGTCACACTACCTGTGGTTACACTACCTGTGGTCACACTACCTGTAGTCACACCACTACCTGTGGTCACACTACCTGTGGTTACACTACCTGTGGTCACACTATCTGTGGTCACACTACCTGTGGTCACACTATCTGTGGTCACACTACCTGTGGTCACACTACCTGTGGTCACACTACCTGTGGTCACACCACTACCTATGGTCACACTACCTGTGGTCACACTACCTGTGGTCACACTACCTGTGGTCACACTACCTGTGGTCACACCACTACCTATGGTCACACTACCTGTGGTCACACTACCTGTGGTCACACTACCTGTGGTCACACTACCTGTGGTCACACTACATGTGGTCACACCACTACCTATGGTCACACTACCTGTGGTCACACTACCTGTGGTCACACTACCTGTGGTCACACTACCTGTGGTCACACTACCTGTGGTCACACTACCTGTAGTCACACCACTACCTGTGGTCACACTACCTGTGGTTACACTACCTGTGGTT